CATTTCAGATACATGCTTTTCACAATCAATATTAAAAAAGCACATGAACTTACGATCGATCTTATAGTATTATCCTTGGGAAGGAAATCCTCCTTAGTCCTATGAGGATAATTTGGTTCAAACACATTCCTCTTAGTGGTAACAAATTCATTAAACATTCGACAATTGATTTCAATCGAAGCTTCTTCCATCAAATCCATAGATTTTCGAAGATAGTTTGCTAAGTGACTACCACTAGAATTAGGTCTGATATGTATGGGACGATTTTGTCTTGCTTAAGTGAAAAACATCTTATTTAAGAAACCTTATGCTTTAATTTTTTTTCATTTTCAAATTGCATCTAATCATTGATTTAAGATGGTTTGAATTTCATCTCCTACCCTCCGTACGTCAAATTCCGTCATTTTTTGGGACGTTTCATCAAATCTTTTGACGAAGGCTTGAACTTTAGCACGTAGATGGGAAAGATCAGTCAAATTAGACTTAAGGGGTCGTTTGGATGAGGAATTAACGGATCAATTTGACACAATTGTCTCAAAACGAGACAATTGTACCAAATTGCCTCGTTTGCCAGCAAAAAAATTGGATGGATCAATCTGCCTGAGCTATTTTGAATTGATCCGTTTTGAGTCAATTTCAATTACCTGGGGTGTGGCAGGTAATTCGAATTGACTCGTTTTAATTGTCACAATTGATCAAATTGACTCATTTATAAATTGATCCATCCAAACGACCCTTTAACGTTTGAGTTGGAAGACTTACCTTTTGATACCATGATGTCATTTGTTAAAATTGGTACGCAAATAACTTTTAAGGGCCAAAATGTTATATATGGATAGTTGAGAAGTGGTCGATTGAGCAAACAATTTGGCTTTGTCGCTGAAAGTTTGAGAATGTAGCTAAAAAATAAGTGTAGGTGGCTAGATTTGGAAATAAGATGAGAGAGTGGCTAGACATGTAAATAGTTTCTTTTCGGTGATTATTTTTGAAAATTACTCTATTTTTTGGGCATTGCTATTCGTCGCCCTAAAAGTTCTTATTTGTCGCCCTAATTATATTAAATTTACTCTAATGCCCTTAGTTTATTTTTTTTTTCAATCTTAAACTCTAAAACGATCACCATGTAATCAAAAACTAAATCAATCACCACATACATCCGCTCTTCGTCGGTGCCGGCCACCTCCTCGAAGAAAAAAGTCGGCGGCAGCAATGACGACCTGAACTTGTGCAAATGCAAGCGACCAGAACGAGCTCTGCAACCAGAACGATTTCAAAGTGAAGAAGCCAAAGATATTCCAAGTTAAATTGCTGAATTTGCTTGCGCATTCTAATATTTTCGATGACGGCAAAAAGGCGGGTTGTTCCGATCTTCCGAAATAACATTTGCGACAGGGATTTTGATGGCCGTTCGGCAACTGTTTACGACATCTACGATCCTAACTTTGCTTGACTAGCAATATGAACCCAAAATATTAATGCAAAAGCTTGTCTTGTTATCGATTTCCCTGGTGTTGGAACTTGGAACCCACTGTATCTTTGAGACCCTAATTTTTTGTGGGTTCTTTTACTTCTTACCATAGTTGATTGATGGCCACAATCGAAGGGTCGGCAAGGTGGGGAAATAGAACAATGGTGGGTCGGGGAATGGGAGCTGCGTCGTGTGTGGGAAACGGCAGTGGCCGCCGGCTATTCGCTGGTGGGAGACGACAAGAGGTAGGGATTAGGGAAATTGGAGTTAGTGGTATAAATGTCAATTTAGCATTATTTAGGGCGATTTTTTTTAAAATTTAGGGCGACGAATAGCAATTCAGTATTTTTTTAGCTTGTAACCAATGCACTTTTTCCCTCTTATTTTCTTTTGGGTTAATTGCATGGTTGGTCACTGAGATTACAGAAAAACGTTCATGTTTGGTCACTGTAAATATTTAAATCCAATCTTGGTCACTCAAATTAGTTAAATTCAAGTTTGGTCACTCTTCGTCCAACTCCGTCGTAGTCGCCGGGAGTTTTAAAAAATCTTATGACTGTAGTGTTCCACAAGGCATCAGTAGCCTCGTGTCTGTCAAACTGGGGGAGTCAACAACTCTTTGTGCCCAATTCGCGCGATCGCCAGCTTTGACAAATGCCAAGGGAAGTGCCTCTCCCGTATTTTAAATTTTTTTTTGCTAGACATTCTATCATTGAACTACTAATGCAACCTATGTTCATAAAACACAATGACAAAAGAAACTAAATAAGTCCATCTGGGTTAGGCAATCAACCTCGATACAAAGGACAAGGAGAAGGTGTCTCCAATCAGCAACCCACCACATTCGAGAATCTGGAGACAAAATTTCTAGGAACTCTAGGTACCAAAACATAATTTTTCTATAATATTTTTTGTTAAAAAATAAATTTTGGTTACCACAGTTGTAAAATTTAAAAACTATAAGCAGTAAATTGTAATTTGCCAACAATTTATGAGTCTGGTCTAGGAATCCACCAATCCAATTGAATTTGGATCAAAATGATTTAATTTGAATGTATTAAATTAATTAGATACTCAAGTGAATGAACTGAATTAAATTGGTAGATTGAATAACAAATTGCCACCGATTTTCAATTGCAAAGTAGAAACTTTTGAAAGTCGTCTTTCTTGTATTCTAACAGGGAATAAAATGAGGCACATGAATATTGGCAACGACATTGATCACCCGCAAACACCAAGGGAAAAATTACTATTAGTTTGAATTAGTAGTGATTTAGCTTAGATGTTATATTGATTTTATAATAATCCGTAGTAATTTCGTTATTTTTAGTAGCGTTTTTTGCTAGTTATCACGGTGCTAACCCCTATAAGGGTTAGCACCTAATCATATCCCACCAAGCTATCATCGATAAGTTTATAGATGTTTCTACAACTCACCTTCACTTCACATTCGACCATAATAATAATACTGATAAATAAATAAATGCATATGCATCTCTTCAAAGATTATTTTTATATATAATTATAGTTATAGACATTGATAACCGAAAACTACTTGAGAGTGACAAAAGACACTTGGCAATCGACAATAGATGCTGTGCAGAGCCAATCCTCGACGACGATTAGATCTATGCATCTTCTTAAACTTTAATTTTAATCATTAATATTTATTAAATGACAACTAATACGCAATTATGGTCGAATGGGCATTCATTTGTATTTTACAGTGTTCCACGTAAATCAATCATGGCAAACTCTTTTATATATCGTTAATAGAGGTGACAATTTTGTATAAAATTCAATGCATCCATTAAAATATTCAATTAATTCATTTCATTTAAATTTAAATTCAATTGCATTGATTTTTTATTTTTTGACAATTCAATTGCATTGATTGATTCATAGATTGGATTTATGAGTTGTTGAAAAATTACGGCTAGTACTTTCATGTTTATATTTTACAATTTGATATCTAAATTTTCTTCTTTTAATGAAAAATATTATTGAGAATTTACGTGTTGATACCTAAAATTTGCTATCATGACATTTTAGCACCTAACCTTTTAAAAGTTTTCATATTGATCCAATGTTTAGATGCTATTTAGATCTATGAATCCAATCTGCCAATCCATTTGTCCAATCCATGAATCCATTTGATCCATGGATCTAGCAATCCAATCTATCGATTCATGAATCAAATCCATTTACCACCTCTAATTGCTCAATATAAGAATTCACAATATTTAAAATAACTAACAAACTGTTTGGTACCAAATGAATTGAGAATTCATTTCATTGTAAAATAAATTACCGTGTAGAATTCATTATCAAATGAAATCTTCTGTTTGGTATGTGATATGTATAAGTAATTTAGTTAATAAAAGAGGATAATTATATCATTATATTAAAAAATAGTAAATACATGTGGAATTCATTTGGAAACTCCATCTCAATTCCTCGGAATTGCTATAACTAGTTCCAATTCCGTAGAATTCATAATTTAGAATTGAAAAATGAATTCTTTCAAATACCAAACACAAAAGGATTTCATTTCAAAATGAATTTCTCAAAACTTATGAAATTCATTTATACCAAACGGTACCTAAGACATTATTCAAAATTAATTATAGAATAAGAAATTAGAAAAAAATAGGTTTCACGGTGCGCGCGGAATTATCACAAAACATTATCACGGTTCTTTTGCTAAGCACGTTTAGTTTTTCCTACTCATAAGCAACAAGAAAAAAAAAAAAAAAGACTGATAATGAAAGCAAAGGGTAGAGAAGACTTTCGAAGTTTGGACGTAATTATTACTCATTTATTAACATTAGAAGAGGGGAATACAAAGGAGTCACAATACTAAACGAAATATATAAACATTGATTGTCTATCAGCAAAATAGAGACGTCAGGTCGAGGACACATACAATAAGCACAACAGGATGCATGTATATTGCGTCTCTTTTACAAAAATTAACACTCCTGCCCCGATTTAATATTCTTCATTACATTTCAAAAGCGAAAACAACCCTTTAAAAAAAAAAATTCCTACAATTTAAAACAGAAACGTGTTGTAGAATGTTCTGTATGATTAACATTATTTTATCAAGATATCATTTGCTTTGAATTTATTTTAGGTAGTTTTTTTGTTTGCATCATTGTAATTTTTTAAAAGCCCGCTTATTTTATACTGTTCCATGATCACCATTTTTTTTTTACGGTTCCACTATCGGTACGTTTAATTTCAGAGTTCCGATAAAAGATTATTCTCTTCACCTCAAAAAATGTCTTGTCAATTAAAATTAAATTATTCTTGCGTATGTCATAAATCTCTCTCATAACTATTATTCCTTTAATTACAATAATATGTATTACCATCCTATTAATATTACATTTTTTTGAAAAGCTTCGTACATTATTTATATCTACTGATTTCCCCCCACCTAAGTATTTAAGAATATTGTTAAATTGACGGGGTGATATTTTAAAATTTATGAATTATATAGCTAATTATCAAAATGTAACAGAAATACAGTTAGCATATGGAGTGACAAGGAAAGGAAAACGCCGAAACGGCAACGCATAGCTTTGCCCATGCAAAATGCCATATTTGATACATTACCCCATGTGCTCCCCCGGTCCCGTCTCTCATTTCTCATCCCATTTGTCGCGTTCTGATTGGCTCTCTCGCTCTCCGCTTAGTTAAAAAAAAAAAAAAATCGATCACCGTATCCACCGATAAATATCCGAACTGCAAACGCTCTTCCCTATCAGCAGCTTCAAAAATCCCCCAAAATTATCCATTCCAGAATTCCCGATTTCTCTCTTTCTCGCTACACAAACCAATTCCCACTTTCAATCTCCACTAATTTCTTCCAATTCATAACAATCATGACCGCCGAAGAGCTAATCCCGGGCCTGCCGGAGGAGATAGCCATGGAGTGTCTGATCCGATTGCACTTCACAGCCCACGGCGTCGCCTCCAGGGTCTGCCGCCGGTGGCGCCAGCTGGTCCGGAGCAGGGAGTTTTACTACCACAGGAAACAAACGGGTCATACCCGGAAAGCGGCCTGCCTAATTCAGGCCCTGCAGGCCCCGGAGTCGGAACCGTCGGGGGACAAGCCGGTCGGGCCGGCGAGGTACGGGGTTTCGATGTTCGAACCCGTCAGCGGGTCGTGGGAGCGGGTCGACCCGGTCCCCGATTACGCCGACGGGCTGCCCCTGTTCTGCCAGGTGACGAGCTCGGAAGGCAAGCTGGTGGTGATGGGCGGGTGGGACCCGGCCGATTACCACCCGGTCAGCCACGTGTTCGTGTACGAGTTCACGACCCGGAGCTGGAGGCGCGGGCAGAGCATGCCGGGCGCCCGGTCGTTCTTCGCCGCCGGCGAGTTCGACGGGAAGGTGGTCGTCGCCGGCGGGCACGACGAGAACAAGAACGCGCTGAAAACCGCGTGGGTTTACGACGTGAAGGGGGACGAGTGGACGGAGCTGCCGGCGATGAGCCAGGAGAGGGACGAGTGCGAGGGGGCGGTGGTCGGGTCGGAGTTCTGGGTCGTGGGCGGGTACCGCACCGAGAGCCAGGGCGAATTCGAGGACAGCGCCGAGGCGATCGACCTCTCGGCTGGCCGTGGCGCGTCGGAGTGGAGGCGCGTGGAGGGAGTGTGGAAGGCCGGGCAGTGCCCGAGGTCGTGCCTCGGGGTGTCGACGGCGGCGAAGGGCGGGGCGCTGTTCAACTGGGCGGAGATGGGCGGCGGAGCGGTGAAAGTGGGGGCCTGTGGGGTCCAGCTGGGGACCGGAATGACGCTTGTGTCCGGGTCAGCGTACCAAGGCGGGCCACAAGGGTTCTATGCGGTGGAAGGGCAGAATGGTAAATTCAACAAGCTGAGTGTGCCGCTTGAGTTCGCCGGGTTTGTGCAATCCGGATGCTCCGCCGAAGTTTGATGGGAAAAAGTGGTTTGTCCTATTTGGATGGAGTGGAAGTGGCCGTATTGTATTATATCGTTTTGGCATACTACTCTGCCTTTTTCCTTTCTTGGGCTTTTTTTTTTATTATGCCCTTTCACCGTTCCAAGTTTTTGGTAATGTTATCGTTCGGGAGCCCGGATCTTTTTCCAAAATATCAGACTTACTAAAAATAATTCTCATCGTACCATACTTTCTACTACAATTCAAAATAATTCTCACAGTACTATACTTTTACTAATTTTTTTCTCTCCAAAATATAAAGTTTGGGTGATTCACTGTACTGTTCAGCTATTTTGCAAAGCATATCACATTAAACATCACCAATCCTCTTACTATGGTAATTACCAAACAAATTAAACCTTAATTCTAGTAACCATAGTATAAAATATCATGACCGAACCGATCAAAATAATACAACAATCAAATTAACCAAACTAAAATTTAATATGTTTGATTAATTGGTTACTCGTGTTAGCAAGTGTATAATTTATTCTCATTGCCCGATAATTTTTGTTGTTGTTAAGAATGCATCCATCTGTATTTTCTACAATGCATAAAAATATAGTTAACTCTTAACATAAATATATTTTTTTTAATTAAAGGGGCTGAAAACTAAGCAAGGAAGGTTACATCAAACCAAACATCGAAATGCCATATAGGAGATTGTACTGGAAAGTCAGCGGTAGAGTATTTTATACTAAAACCATGGCTTAACCATGTTTCAACCATTTACCAGTTTAACCTCCGGCAGGAGGTTTTCCTGGTCGAATCGCCAGTACGGTACAATATTTCAATCCTTGCATCAAACATACAAGGCTACTGCCTCACATTTGCCTTACTACTAGGGATGGCAATGGGTCGGGTTGGGTCGGGTTTTGCCAAACCCAAACCCAAACCCATGGGGTTATCCGTGAAAAAAACCCGGGGTAAAACTCACTAGGTTTGAAAAACTCAAACCCAACCCAACCCGCTGGGTATCCGCGGGTTCATGGGAACCCACGAGTTTTTGTCGTAAAAAATTTACAATAACAAGTTCCTATCAAAATTAAAGTCAAATATCAATATCTCAATACAAATTATCCATATATAAAACACCATTCTAGAAAATTCAAGCAAATCACAAATTAACTATACAAATTGTTCAACACTAATCAAGAAAACTCAAGAAAATTGAAGCAAATCATAAATTATTAGTAAATAACATGATTAATTGAATGCTTCTTCCTTTCAATTAAGTTTCTTCACTCTCCACCCGATAACATCAACTTCATTCTACACAATTAAAAAGAAAAAAGTAGACATGTCTGCACAAACATAAATAAGTTTAGGTGTTTAGAATGTTAAATATACCGAAAAAATTAATTATATGTGGGTGTGGGCGGGTACCCATGGGCCGGGTTTACCTAAACTCAAATCCAACCCAACCCGGCGAATAGTGAACGGGTTTAAACCCAAACCTGGCCCAAAACCCATCAACACGGATTTTACCCGGGTTGGATCGGGTGGGTACTCGTGGGTTCAGGTTTTGTTGCCATCCCTACTTACTACTAGACACCCAGAAGAAAAGGAAAACGAAAACAGAGCTAGGGAAACAGAGGGTTCAAGAATCAATTTTTCCATGAAGGCACGACAAGAAGTTCAGGCTACTATCAACATCTCCAATCCATCACCCATCCGGGGAAGCTGTCACCCATAATGTCATTTCTAATAATCTCACATACTTATGAGGAAGGATCCTCTAGTTCATACATTTCAATAGATAGACGAGATTGTGCTTCGAGAGCCAATCCGCGACTCTATTCCCCGATATGTATGAGCTAGTTGAATCACCCATTTTTTAGAAAACATGCGAGCATCACTCCCAAGATGCTTGCATGGAGATGGGGGGGGGGGGGGGGGGGGGGGGGGGGGGTTATAATGTTGTTTGATCAACTCCACATAATAATTCCATAAAGAAATAATACCAGACGAGTCAGTTATATAAGTTAACCGTTCATGGACGGGTAAAACCAGATCAAAAGCGGGACACATGCAAATATGGATCACAGAACGCAGAAATGATTGACAATAGTACATCCCGAAGCAGGAAGCCTAGGCCAACCAGACAAAATTGATCTCAACCAGCAAGAAATTTTTCCGATTGGGCAATTCTCTAGTTTCATTAACGAAAGCTTGAAGAACTTTGGACATCGACGGATAGACTACGGAGCTGTAATGTCACATGTAATGTCATTAACCACTCAGACCACGCACGAAACTTAACACACAGTTCGCAAGGATCTGGATTACAACTACTAAATAAAGCACAGATCAATTATATAGCCATCCACTACGATTATGCTAACACATTCTCCAAACATTTAGGTTCAAATTTCAACTCCTCTGTTCCAACTGCCACTCCCAACTTATATATAGACACAACTACTAGTCGAAGCTCCGGCTCCGGCTCCTGCTGCTGCCACTTGGGCTCCTGCTCCTGGCCATGTAAGGCGACCTCGACCTTGAGTAGGACCTGTCCCTGTAGTTTCTCTCCCTTGGAGAAATGGACCTATACTTCCTGTCCCTAGGCGATGGTGACCTTCATTGGCCCCATCGAGAAACAACAAAGTAAATCAATGGTTTTCAAGTGTCTGTTTATAAGAGCACAAGGATATGAGAAATGGAGCATGAACACTTAAACAAGGGCATACCTAGAGTATCGCCTTCTTCTAGGAGAAGGAGAATAGTACGAAGGGCTCCTGGAGTACCTACTGCGTCCATAACGTGATGAATGCGACCTCCTGAGCTCTCTTTCACGATCCCTGAACATACATACAACGTATGCCGTTTAGTGTTAGTCGGAAGACAATCATCACGCCATATGACTACACATGGACACATTGAAGAATTGCAGTAGATAGTATGTGGTTGTTGTTCATACAAACTTTGATTACCTGCCACGGTCTCTAGCCCTCATTTCTGAGGGCTTCTTTCGGTTTTCCTCAGCAAAAACTACTGTTAGTTCCCTCCCAAGTAGAACTTCACCATCCATGTTATACTTGGCTTCAGCAGCATCAGCAGGCTCTACAAACTGGATAAATCCAAATCCACGAGGCTTCCTGTGGCGAACAATTAAGAACACAAGCAAATAAAAGGCTTAAAAACACATATACAAGTTATAAGCATGCCAGCCACAACATTGAGAAACTAAGATTGCTTCTGATGTTGAGGAGGATCACTTGACAACCGAATCCGATTGATTATGCCATTAAAGCAAAATGATTATGCATTTGCTGACCTTGGTCGAGTCAACAATCTAATTGGGCCTTCAACACTTGAACTTCAACCCAACTTCCCTTCAAACTTCCTTTATCTTGATGTACACTATGACCACTGAGAACAGTAGTCTTAATACTTGAATGGTGTCTTCAAGTACTCTTATTACTTCATTCTTGTCTTTCTCTTACTACTTCATTTTGTTGCTTCAACACTTTCAATAAAAACAGCCAAATTCCCATAAACCGGCAATTAATAAGACAAACCCCCAGCATCATCATAGAATGGTGAGAAGGGTTCCCCATGACCAACAAGTCAATATAATCTAAACACAAAGCTTGGACATCACCCCGTCCCGGATGAACAGAAATAACACCAAGATTATACACTTACCCTGTGTAATAGTCACGAGGCAGATATATGTCCTTCAGAGGACCAAACTGGCTAAATGGTCCACGTAAATCTTCAGGGCTGCATAATGGATGGGAGAAAAAGAGAGCAACACATCAGCCAGATCGTTGATTTAATCAATTAGCATGCATGCATAAGCACATACATCACTTCATTTTAAATTCTACTCACATATTCATGCCATTCAAGAACAACCGTAAAGATTCAAAGCATAAAAAAGTGGGTTCACTAGCAAACCTGCAGTCGTGTCGAAGGTTGCGAACAAGGAGACTGGATGGCAGATCCCTGCTGTGACCTCTATAACGTCCCCTAGGGCTAGGACTTCTGTGCCTTCTACCATATCCCCTAGGAGGAGAGGGGCTGTAACTGTAGCTTCTTCCCCTCATTTTTTACTGGACGTCACAATCTACATTCAGAACGAGATGGAAATCAAATAACACACCATACATACAAAAAATTACATTGAAAACAATCTAAATATTCCACCCTACATCCTCTCATATCCTAGGAAGCATCATTGTCAACTAAATTCTTAAAATTTCCAATTGATTAGCGCCTGAAGAATATAAGCTCTGCAAAACGAACCCAATGGAACCGCGAGAAACTCGCATTAAATTAACGTAAAAGTTCTAACCCAAGGATTTGATCCACCACAATATCAAACTTCCGTCCGTAAATTCAATCTGGTGTTCCGAAAATTCCAAGACCCAACCTACCTAGCGGAATTCAAACCCTAGAACAACTTCCGCAGAGATGAATTGAACCGAGTAACCAAACAGACAATCCACGAATAAGAAATACACAGAAGAAACGAAAGGAGACAATCATAAACGCGGAGATCGAGAGATCCACCTGGAATTGCGGAATCTTTGAAGCTAGCTTCGCCTTCAAGCGCACCAAAACCAATTTCGATGGGTGATCGAGCAAAGAGAAACGAGAGAGACGGGGAAGAGAAGCCCCCTTCTTCATTTAAAGCCCCCTTCTAATTCCAGAAGCTTCAGATCGCTGATATATACGTCGTCGTATCAGTCGCTAAAAACTATAGGCCCATTATATGAAGCCCAATTCATATCGGTAGAGTTTAGCGCATACCCCGGCCCATTTTGTAATTAGTTTAAACCCGCCCGGCCCGCCATAGCTAGGGCGCAGTCTGGTACACAAAAACCCTTGAAAAACCCATTTTCTTCCTTTCAAGTTCCGTTTTGCAGAAACGAAGAAAGAAATCACCGGCTGGAGCCATAGTCGTTCTTGCCGTTGTACAGAATGGCAGCTCCGTCGTCGAAGAAGAAATCTCTGAGCAGGAATCCCAAGGAAGCTCCAAAATTTAACAAGGCTTCGAAGAAGGAATTTAAAGCTAAGAAGAAGGACTCCATCAATGGCGTCCCCAACTCCGAACCAGCCTTGTCTTTGCAGTTAGAAGATGATGTCCCAGACTTTCCTCGAGGTTCTGCCGCTGCTTATTGTTGGTTTGGTTTCACTGGGCTATAATATGTATTGGTTTTAGAGAGAAACTTGAGTGGAAAGCTCCGAATATGAGCATTTGACTGATAGAATAGAAGTATTGAAAGCTCTGGATATGTTTTAGTCTGTGGTATTGGTTTGCTCATGTTTGGTTGCTGAGAAACTAATAGGAAATTATTTTGAAGTTTCATGTTCATTGACGTTTTACTGTAGATTTAGCTAGGTAATGGGGTTTTGGCTGAGGATTAGTTTTACATTCTTAGAAAGCACTTTCGAGGGAGATTAAATTGTTTTCGTTAGATGATTGTCGATTATGTTATGCTCTGTGTTTAAGAGCTATGAGTTGCTATGGTTCTGATATCTATTGACTTGTAGGTGGGGGAAGCTCACTTAGCCAAAAAGAGCGCATTGAAATTCGCTCTGAAGTTGATGCCGAGTTTGAAGCCGGGGAGAAGATGTTTTTCGGAAAGAGTAAGAAGGGTAAGAAGTTGCGAAAGGATCAGTTAGAAGCAGATGATTTTGGTTCACTTTTTGGAGATGGGGTAACTGGGAAGCTGCCCCGGTTTGCTAATAAGATCACGACAAAGGTTTGTACTTCTTCTGTTCTATACTTTATTGTTCAGGTACAGGAATTGAATTGTTTGGTTTGCTTATTTACCATCTTTTTGTGTTACATTATGTTTTTTCATTTGGCAACTGTTTTTACTATACAATTGAATGAATGATGGTAGATGGCTGTGCCACTGAGCTGCTTCCTTTAATATTCTTCTTCCAACATGAATTCTCAGAATATTTCTCCCGGGATGAAGCTTTGGGGAGTAGTCGCTGAAGTAAATGAGAAGGACCTTGTGATTAGTCTGCCCGGGGGCCTGCGTGGATTAGTCCGTAATACCGATGCAGTTGATTCTATTTTGGACGACGAATTTGAGGTTGGATAAGCACTAGTACCTGCGCCCACCGAACACAAACACACAAAATTTTGTTGTCGTTGCTTTTTTTCATTCTTCTCAATTGATCTGTATGCTTATCACTCTAGTTTTTCTTAAACCTAACACTGGTTTTTTATTTAATAGGAAAATGATGGTTGTCTTTCCAGTATCTTTCATGTGGGCCAGCTGGTTTCCTGCATTGTATTGCAGTTGGATGATGATAAAAAGGGGAAACGAAAGATCTGGCTTTCTCTGTGCCTTTCATTATTGCACAAGGGGTTATCACTAGATGCAGTTCAGGAAGGGATGGTATGTTGAACTTTGTGATTCTGCTTATAGTTGACATACACGGGACGGAGTTTGTTTCTTTATTTCCAAAAATAACTTTGTCAACTGAAATTTTGTTCAACCTCAGTTTTTATGTTGGGTGGATTGATCAAATATGTTTGGTGGTTGGTGCCTGGTGTTGTCCCTGCTACTGTGAAAAAGGTGATCAGATAATTGTTCCATTCAGAGTAGCCGAGATTTGGTCACCTTTCCTCAGAAATATGGAAATTTGATTGCATATGTTGCCTAAGTAGGTTCTCTGATACATCTTGGGAAGCATACTATGCCAATAGAATTGCAGTGACCTTAAACTTTACCTTGGAGTCCCATAAACATTTGAAAGATTGACTTGAAGTTTGTTGCATTCTTCTCATTTGAATTCACTAGAGCTATGGCTCTGGTTTGTATAAGTATGGCTTGTGGAATTTAATATGGGCCTCTTGACTGATTGTATTAATTGTAGGTACTCGCAGCGTATGTGAAAAGCATTGAAGACCATGGCTACATTCTTCACTTTGGAGTGCCTTCTTTTACAGGATTCCTGCCTAAGAGTACGTAGTGGTCAGCGTTGGTGTCTTCTCACTTTCATTTTCCATTTCCATGATGCTCATCGTTGAATATTGGGTCAACTGGTTGGTTTGCGTCTATTAACTTGTTCACGTCTCTTCATGTTGTAATTCTGTCTTTGTGACTACATGCGTGTTTGGTTTTGTCCTTACACAAATTTATCGTGTTCTGGCAATTCGATTGTCCTCTATAAGTCCACATAACTGTGAGTATCTAAGCCATCAGATTATTTTTTTTGTTGATTGTTAACTTTTGCTTCTTGCAGAGAGCGATGATGCCAGGGTCGAACCTTGTCAGCTCTTGAAAGGGGTTGTTACTAGGATTGATAAAATTCGGAAAGTCATATATTTGAATTCAGACCAAGCTACGGTATCTAAATCTGTGGTATGGTTTTGTTTCATAAATGTTCCTCCTTGTCTGATCTGCAACATGTTGGTCCTCATTTTTGTGACAAAGGCTATGTTTTCACCAGATGAAGGATGTGAAGGGTATATCAATTGATCTTCTTGTACCAGGAATGATGGTTAGTGCTCGTGTACAGTCAACCCTCGAAAATGGTGTAATGCTATCCTTTCTTACATACTTCACTGGAACTGTAAGTTAGCTTTTTCCTAGCCACGTGTTTCAGAAAACTCAGTCTAGCATAAGTTTCCTCAGGTGTTTCAGAAAACTGGAAAATGGTTTCACAACCCAAAATTTATGTTTTGTAGGTTGATATGTTTCATTTACAAAGTTGTTTTCCAACTACAAATTGGAAAGATGATTACAGCAAGAATAAGAAGGTATTTCATCTAAATCTTTGTCAGCTTTCCTACTCATGACATGCCATTTCTTCTCTCTCTTTCTCTCTCAATCTTGGGCAGTAATTGTTGAATCCTATCCAACTCAGATAACAAATGACTAGCATGCAATCAGTTTCTTTACTGTCTTCCTTAAAAAAAAAAACTGGCACTATTAGTTCGAAGCTCACCACATTATTACTTTGGACCACTTGTGTTTCACGTACCATTTCCTTTACACTTGTTCTTGAAAATAATACACCATCTTATTGATGTTCGTGAGAGTATTGTCTAATTTTTTGTTGCCTACTTCCATCCATATGTACTGCATTATCCAGTTTCTTGTGTTCTTCTCTTATACCTACTTGAATATATTTGACACAGGTTACTGCTCGTATATTATTCATTGATCCGACTACAAGAGCTGTCGGCTTGACACTCAATCGACATCTCATTCATGATACTAATCCTCCATTGGTAAGCCTGTGGGACATAAGTGGGGGTCAGTTTTACCAATTTATGTTTGTGTGTTCAAGCTGGATCAGTAACGTTTTCTTGGATCTCCTTTTGTTGGGTTTAGCCGCTCCGTGAATTACATTACATCGAACTGCATAACATAATAATGAATTTGATATCTTACTAGTAAATTCTCTAACTTGATCCATGAATGAAATGGAGCTCGAAATGACCATGGGCTTAAGCTCTATTGGAAATAAGACTAATGGTTGTACTTGTATGGTTTGCAGCTTGTCAAAGTTGGAGACATTTGTGACGAGGCAACCGTGGTCAGGGTTGACAAAAAGATCGGTCTTCTGCTTGAAATCCCCTCTAGCCCAGCATCAATGCCAGTTTTTGTTGGTGTATGTTCATTGTGTTGCATGATTATTCGTTGAAAATCGAGTTCAGTGAAATCATTGTGGTGAGTCAAAAATTTGTGTTGGTTGTAGCTACCTGATGTGGCTGAAGAAGAAGTGCCGAAGCTGGAGAAGAAGTTCAAGGAGCGCAGTGTCGTCCGTGTAAGAATAATAGGGTTTAGGCATTTGGAAGGGCTTGCTACAGGGACTCTGAAGGTGCTTTCTTGACTCATTATATATAGAGACAAACTTAATTTGACTGTGGTGACTCTAGTTTGTCCAGTGCATGAAGATTTCACCATCAAGTGCATTCTACTTAGTTTAATTATAAAAATTTGCACAAGAGGCCAAAAACATATTAGAAATGGTGCCTTAACGAACTTACATGTCCTTTTTTATGTGCACTGTATATAATGCGCTGATGAGGTTTGTTTTATGTTTTGAGGTTTTTCTTCTCCATTTTGTGGTTGTAGTCTTTGCCAAGAGTTAAAAATGCGAACACCTAATTTTTTACCCCATGAAAGCAAACACTGTTTATGCCATGCCACAGGCCAATTATTCAAATGTGAGCTGCAAGAGCTTATCCTTTTCCTGAGCTAAGAGTGGTTTAATTCTAATGAACAGCTTCATTAGCATTGCTCATAAGGCCTGTGAATTGTTTGTTACGTGTGGATGAACCGTCTTAAAGCATTTGAGTCATGTTTTTCTCTTATAATTTTATGGATAATGCAGGCTAGTGCTATTGAAGGCCCTGTTTTTACTCACTCAGAGGTGAAACCAGGAATGGCTGTGAGGGGTAAAATCATAGCAGTCGATAGCTTTGGGGCTATTGTGCAGTTTCCCGGTGGTTTAAAGGCGCTTTGCCCTCTTCAGCACATGTCCGAATTTGAAATTGCGAAACCAAGAAAAAAATTTCAGGTTCTTATGGGCATATGAGTTATGAATGGATATATGTTGTGGTTTTTGATTCATCTGTGTTCATGCTCATGCAGTCACAATTACTCTTCATGCTCATGGTATTCAATATGACCTGCCTTCTAATGCAGGTCGGCGGTGAACTGACTT